TCTATCCAGGAAAATATAAGAGGTCCTATATCACCATTGTTTCCTAACGCCGAATAGTACTCCATGGTACACATATACCACATTTTATTAATCCACTCATGTATTGATGGGCACTTGGGTTGTTTCCACAACTTTGCAATTGTGAATTGTGCTGCTATAAACATTCAAGTGCCAGTGTCTTTTTCATAAAGTGACTTTTGAACTTTTGGTGGATGCCCAGTAGTGGAATTGCTGGATCAAATGGTAGATCTACTTGTATCGCTTTAAGGTATCTCCATATTGTTTTCTATAGAGGTTGAACTAGTTTGCAGTCCCACCAGCAGTGTAGGAGTTCCTATCTCTCCGCATCCATGCCAACATTTATTGTTTGGGGACTTTTTGATAAAGGCCATTGTTACTGGAGGTAAGTGATATCTCATTTGGTTTTGATTTGCATTTCGCTGATGATTAGAGATGTTGAGCATTTTTTCATATGTTTGTTGGCCATTATTCTGTCTTCTTGTGAAAAATTTCTCTTCATTGGACATGGTGTTCTTTTGCCTCAGTTATCCCTGGGCCATCCCAGAAGACAACTAGGGCCCACCTCTGTAGTTTAGAACCCGCCAGATTATTAAAATAGACAATCCTAAATGGTCTCCCCTGCCCTGCTTTGCCTTTCCCTTGGGAACTCCAATCAGCACTGTGACCTACGCTCTCCCCTTGCTCCTGTCTCTCCATTGTCCCACTGCTATCTGACCAGTGCCGGGAGCGTTTCCTTGTGCCTCCCCTGGGTGGCACTGCGGTGACCCTTTCCGAGCGTCCTGTGGTATAAGTAAGAACGTTGTTTTCTTTCTTCTCTCTGTGTCCCTCTCTTGCCGGCCCACACCTGACTCTGACATCCACATAAAGGAAAATAAAATGTGTGTGTGTGTGCTGTGGGTGTTTGTGTGTCGAAATCTGAGAGAAGATAAGTCTCACCATAACAGGAAACTAGCCCTTTTTTAGATTAACCACCGCTAAGATTACGTCATACACTCAAGAAGTAACAGACTTGCAGTAAGACATTCACACATTCTTAATTCCAACCACCACTTCTATCGCTTTCACCACACTTTTTCATTCACACAAGAAAATCTCCTACCCATTAGCCAATCTTTTCCCTAATAGCTTGCCAGCCCTGGCGCTTCACTTGCTCGTCATCGGCTTCTCATGACATAAAGGAAATCATGCCAATCATCTTTTCGGTCGTCCTGGCTTCTTTCGCCTGAGCATGGATGTTTTTCCAATGTTCATCCACATTGACAGCCATGCCATTAGATACTTACAAAACAAATAAACCTATGCGGCGCTGAATATCACCTCACCATTGC